GAAGCGGCAGGTGTCCCCACAGCTGGTGGGCCTGTGTGCTCTAAATGCCAGGGCCGATTTTTGGTCCCGGTCTGGCCCTGGCAGGCAGGAATCCATTTTGTCAAAGCAAAACAAAGTGCCGGGGGGGGGGGGGGGGAAAAGGTTTTGATTTGTTTTGGCAAAACAGGATGCCTGAACTGGGTTGTGAACCAAACTACAAACCAGCTGAATTCGTCCAATTTTATGTCGTAATTTTATTTGTGCCTATCTCTACTTATAAGGCCATATAGCATCAAGAACATTCTAGTTATAGAATATTCAACAAATATATAAACCACTGTGCACAAAATCTCAGATTGGATGGGACAGAGTTTTCTTTGAGTGTTGTGACTGAAAGCTACAAAATCCAAAACCCAACATAAGAGGCTCTTACAACTTGTCCTTTAACCTTTTCCAAATTGTTCTAATCATTTTCAACCTGCAAACCTTTTTCTACATCTTGATTTAAAGGTTAGTAGGGCATAATCTTGCATTGACACTGTCAGCTAGCTATTCCTTATTTAAAGTGTATATTATTAAGTTGTTTCACAGTATTCTAGAAGAGATCTGAAGTATTCACCCACCACTATAGCAAATATATTGGTCATTCTTTATAATTAAAAAAATACAGAAATAGGTCTCCTTTGTAGTTCTTAATCTAATATCCTGATAAACAGCTCCAAGCTATTTTTTTAAAACACACACACACACACACACACACACACACACACACACACACACACACACACACACAGAGAGGGCATGTGATCCATTTCTAGCAACAAAATCTGAAGTTGGGTAATACTTCTATTGTTTGTTTCATGCCATCAAATAGTTTCCAATTTATGGTGACTCTAATAAGGTTTCTAAAATGTGTGAGATGTTCAAGAAATACAGTAGTTTACTATTGCCATCCACTAGTGAGTGTCCATGATGAACCAGAGACGTGAACCCAAATCTCCTGAGCACAAGTCTGAATCCACTAATCACACTGACTGTCAAATGGAACACTAAAGTGTGAGAAATAAGACAAACCTTTGAGTTCCCCATAACTCTGCATCAGTCAAAAATAGTTAAACCTGGTGATAAGGCAAAGAGTAATAATGTGAGAAATGTTTGGTTGGCAGCCTGGTTTCAGAAGCTAAGGCACCATGCATCAATTTTTGAACTACTTTGCCTTAAACACAAGTTTTATACCATCTTTGCTTGATGGAGATTTTTGGGAAAACTTGTAGGCTCATCGTCATTGTAACTTTTTAGTTCCTCCAAATATAGAATATTCAAACTCTGGAAAAAATGTCCCATCCCCCCCCATCCCATCTAGGCTCTGAGACCTTTGGGAGAGATTCTTCTCTTCCTCTCAGAGGCATATTTGGTGCGGATGTGAGAGAGGGCTTTCCTAGTGGCTACACCACACAGCCACAAGACTAGAGCCTCCTTCTATGGGAGGCTAGGCTGTTTCAAGGACAATGTATGCCTTCTAGGATATCAGCAAAAACCTTTGTATTCAGACAGGCTTTCAACACTTGACCAACTTAGTTGCTGAGAAAATATCTATTAATGTGTGGCTGCCCTCCTTTTTTATTGATATACTTTCAGATTAATTTTTAATTTCATCATTTGCTTTTTTGTATTTTAATATTTTTAACGTCTTGCATTATTACTTGTACTTCTTTTCAATCGAGTTGTGAGCTGTCCTCAGCCTAGGTTTTGGGAGCAAGGTAGGATAATAAACAAACACAAACAAATAATGGTTCAAGTCTAGCATCTCTCTACTAGGTAAAGGTAAAGGTTCCCCTTGACAATTTGTCCAGTCATGTCCGACTCTAGGGGGTGGTGCTCATCTCTGTTTCCAACCCATAGAGCTAGCGTTTGTTGGAAGACAATCCTCCGTGGTCACGTGGCCAGCACGACTAGACATGGAATGCTGTTACCTTCCCACCGTGGTGGTACCTATTTATCTACTCACATTTTGCATGCTTTTGAACTGCTAGGTTGGCAGGAGCTGGGACAAATGATAGGGGATCACTCTGACGTGTGGATTCGATCTTATGACTGCAGGCCTTCTGACCTTGCAGCACAGAGGCTTCTGCGGTTTAACCTTTAGCGCCATCACGGCACTCTACTACTGAAGGAGAAATAGGGAAATATCAAGCTTCCAGAAAGTACTCTAAATTGCTACTATATTCTTGTCTGTGTGCCTACATCTTGACTATACACACTGTATTTAAACATGCCATTATACAGGTGAAATAACTATGGGCAACTTAGTGCTTCCAAATTTTGCCTAAATTATAAAATAGAAGGCAGGTTTTATTTTCCCCACAGTAGATTAAATATCCCTTCGTGTCTGTCACCAGCAATGTAGTGGTAATTTTTAAAGTGTAGGTGCTTATCACGACTGTCCTTGTAATCAGTGTCCCTTCTGTACGAGGAGAGTCTAAATGTGAAGGCTGCAGGATCAGGCCATATCAACAAATGAGGAACAGGTCTTTTGTAAATGCTCTTAAAGACTGTTCAAGACTAAACCGCCCTCAAATAGTTTGTGTTACAACAACGATAGCTTGTAACAAACTCACAGCAGAAAAAGCCATTTCTCTCCCAGCTACTGTGAAGACTGGAGCTAAGCTGAGAGATAACAGAGAAGCCTAAGGATTGGGTTTGACAGAGGATTTCAGAATCTTTTTTTCCAAACAAGTTCTGGGGCTTCAACTGTGATCAATCGAGAGTCTGCACCACCCTTTGCCTCACATTCAACAAATATTTTGAGGGTACTCCAACATCTCTGGGACTCCTGGCATTGTCCCTTTTAAAAAATATATCCACTAGAGGACTTAAAAAAGAAATATATTCAGTTTTTGAAAGTACATTTATATAAGAAAAAAAATTCAGAATGTGGTCCTCTAAGGTCAAGGGATGAGTGAATGTGGCCCCTGGACCTCTGGAAATTAACCACCCCTGATTTAGGGTGTTTCATTGACTGCACAGTTTAACATTTATTTCTTTAGAATCTCACACCCACTGGAGTTTATCTGGAGGTTAAACCATAACTCTTATATATGAATTAAAGAAAGACGTTCATCACACCATACATGTGTGACTCTGCTCACTGGGAAGTGACAAGATTATCTATGCCTGTCCACTCTGCTTAGCTGTGGCACAGATAATCTTGTCACCTCCCAATGCCTGTTTCTTAAATGTTTACTGTTAAGAAAATATCACTTTTTGTACCTTTTGTATTTCTATTGCCCTCGACTCCCTTCCCACACCAACACACGGGTGCAAGTATATGCCCACTTAGACAAAACTCTGCACATCTGGAAAAGTGGGGTGCAATCCATGAAAGCATATGCTGAATAAAACTTGTTGGTCTTCAAGATACCACAAGATTACATCACTATTGACATCACGACCACCATCAGCAGCTGCAGCACAACTAGTCCCTTTGTTTTGAAGTTCCAGCTCATTTGAACAAGTAGACAAAAAAAAAGATGTTAGGTCATATATTTTATACTGGTAACAATGTTTTGACTGATACAAAATGCAGACATGAAGGTGGGGGATATTCTTACCAGTTATATTGCAGTAGACCAGCAATGGTGGAAGTGGACCACTTGCATCAGGATCAATGTGGAAGAAACCAGATGTTTTCCCTTGGTGCCGATAGGCTTCACATGATTGCTCATAAACAGCTGGAAAGAAAGAAACAGCTATTTACAGAACACACTTTGGATGAGTATTCCAGGCAGTGGGACAATATAGTTCTGTGTCGTAACTCCCTATCTCACTGCATGGTAGCTGCTTCTACATGGGAAGCCAATTATCAGTGTTTGACAATTAAGGAGTGAAGCTGACCTTCTCGTACATTTGCTGCCTCTGCATCCTCATGTAGTAATTGTTAAAGGTACACTATCTGCATGGCCAGTCAGTACTGGTCTCCCCACATGGTTGCAGCTGTGAGATTACAATTTGACCTATCTTGCAAAGTTTAAGCTTCTGTGTGAGAAGCTACTGAGAAACCTTTTCAGCAGTCTGGAAATTAACCACGGAAATTGATCACTGCAACAGATGTTTGAAAAGAGGAGCTAAAATATTTTGAATGTAAACTGGAAAAGTGCAGTGCCCTGGCTTTCCTGTTCCACCTCCTCCAGGGTGCTGTCCCTGAGTGGGCACCTGCCAGACACCTACTTGTCCAAAGGATAAAACAACACAAACCAACAAACAGCGGTTTGTACCCATCTATAGTCTGTAAATCTTGCAACCTAATTTGAGATGTTCAAATGTCCATATGAAGAACAAATGACTGCCATATTGTGACAAAGGTATAGAAATCTGTGAATTTTTGGGGGGATGTGTGTGATGCCTTTGCCTAGATTGGACGTGAGGGCACTGTGCCATTTCATTATCCTCATCTTAAACAGCTCTGAGGTTTATTTTGATTTTTGATTTTACATTTTTTTTCTTGACAGAAACACAGCCCATGCCATGTCAAGAGACAAGGATTGAGTTGCTTTTCTTTCATTAAAACATGGGGTAGTCACTTGAGACTTGTAATTGACTAATAACATTAAACAAGATGTGAACATTGGAATAGGGGGATAAGAAAAAGGAAATAAAAGGGGCAATGAAGTTGAGGTTGACAAAGGGGTAACGGTTGAATTACAAACGGAAAATGCTGGGTATTCAAATCTCTGAACTGCAGACCCCTTAAATAGCAGTGGGGCGATGTTTCTCTCTCCTTTCCTGTACCTATGCAAACTAACATTAAAATGGCCTTCCTTATGGCTTTGGCTCAGACTTCTCAGAAACGGTCAGTTACATATAATTAATTCCTTTTTTCCAAAACATAAAATTACCTTATATTATGATTAACATAACGTAAGAAGATATAATGCTCCTCTATTTGAAGCATCCCCTTCACGGATTGTTGCCTTGTCGTGGCGAAGGGGCTTGAGTAACTCAGAGAAGCTATGGGCTATGCCGTGCAGGGACACCCAAGACGGACAGGTCA